ACAAAGGCCAAAAAATCCTACAGTTTGTATGAAATACGTGGTAGCATTATGCATGAGGATTAGATTTGTTCATGCTTTTTAAGCTAAAACAAATGGGGGGGGGGGGGTTGCATTATAGTTGAGATCATATTATACTGGAATAAATACGGAAAACACTTTATATGTTTTTTCCACAAATTCACCTGTTTAATATCTCTCCTGTGTGATTTTTCATGGGCCTCTTCAGCCATTAAAATGGCACCTAAACTACACCCAACCAATTCACATTTTGGCACTTTGCATCAATTCAGTTCAATTCAATTCAATTTCAAGTCAGTTTATTTATATAGTGCCAAGTCACAAGAGAAATCAGCTCAGGGCACTGTATGAAAACACTCACATACATAAAAAAGCCAATTAGTAAAGTTCTCTATCTAAGGAAGCAGCAGATTGTGTTGAATCATCACTTCAGTCTCCCATCCTGAGCAAGCACAAAGGAGACAGTGGAACGAAACAACTCCCTTTTAACAGGAAGAAACCTCCAGCAGAACGAGCGGCCATCTGCTTCGACCGGCTGGGTTTGAGAGGACAGGGAGGAAAAACAGTCTCATCAGTTCTACACCACACCGCCCCAGTTAAGGGTCTGCCCACTGCCAGTACCCACCCCCACTCAGCCCAGTTTATGGGACTATCTTGTTCGTGGTTACAAGTGAACTGCTCCGAGGTGCCAATTTTGACATAAGCAGGCAGCAGCTGTTGTTTGACCAACAGAGCTACATCACTCGATGACCCACCCAGCAAAACTACAAACTACACCTGAGTCACCATTTCCTCTCTTTATTGTGCTGTTTTTGCTCGTTTCTGGTACGGAAGCTCTGAAAATTGTGCCGTGGACCAATGAGGAGGTTTAGACATTCCGAACTGTTTTAGCTGTTAGATGTTTAGGATGTTTAGGATGTTTAGGATTCAACATGACAAATAGAAAATTTCTGAAGAAATTCTGATGGTACCTGCCACTTGGCGCAAGATGTTTGATACCACAAGTTAATTAGTTTTACAAATACAACCAATAATTATTTTTTGGGGATGTCATTTCAGTTTGTCCACTAATTCACAGTATATTTTGCTAACACAGATAGATAGAGTTGACTACAAGTGATAATGACATTTTAAACAAAAGACAACTGTTAGCACTTGGTGTAAGTTTAGGGGATGGCACGCAGCTAAAACTACCAAATTTTAGCTCATTATCTATAAAACTGGCTGAGTTGTAGCTACTTTTGTGGTTGCCAATATAACTGACACCTTGAATACATACAATTCAGTTATCTTGTAGCTCATATTTATCCTCAAATTCATATTTAGTATTCTGTCAATTTTTATGCATTTTTGGTCAGTTTTTCTTGGAAAACTAAGACAATATTTGATAATTGTTATTGTTCTATCATAGCGAGAGTCTGAGCTGTTGGTCACGCCTCTGCACAGTGTGAAAACAGGCCCAGTTTCCATCGGCATCCATCAAGGCTAAACTATTGTTTTGTGTTGAATCAAAGGTAGGAAAATACAGACTTGTTTAACATGGGGGGAGTCCAGGTTCAGACTCTGATACGGCACATCCAAACACTGGACTATCAGTGTTTTGGTAGATTTGCTTTAGTTCAACAAAAGCATGTCAAAGCTATGACTATCTTGCAGGACTGCAGGTGTGTTGTGACCAGCAAATGATTTCGCAACCAACATAAAATGTTTTGGAGTAAAAAATATCCTTCAGTAATCCCAACTCTTGATTTCATTTGAGTTCAACAAACCAACGTTACCCAAAGAGGTTTATCTCTGAGCCTTTCACTTGTGGCCAGTGTACAGACAAAACTAAGTATTTCAGTAGGTTTCTATACCTTTTTAAAACTCATACAACATCACCTCTGGCCCATATAAAGCACTCAGAGGAAAAGGATTATTCATGTACACACATCATCATTCCTTTTCACTTTGTAGATGCATTGCTGCACCTATTAAGAAAAAGCCAAAGAACTTTTGTTGAACTTCTCTCTTGATGTATAATAAGAGAAATATGACTGAAGGGACTCCCACCTTCCAATTTGCCATTCATTCATTCAACCTTCAAGAGGAAGCCTTGGATTTACCACTTCAGAGAACTTTTAATCTTGTGTTTTTCCTGGCAAAGACCTCAGAATCACTGCAGGAAATCCCTCAGCATTCCCACTCATGGTGTGATTTTAAACTCAGTCATTATGCTCATCCATTCAGACTGCTGCATATTATATGTTCAAGCATGAGGCCTACCTAGGAGTACAAAGGTCTCATTTGGTCAAGAGCACATACTTCTTTTCTTTAAAATTTCAAAGCTTGGAGGGGATAAAAGAATGTAAATTGAATGACAGCAAGGCATATCAGATTGCCCAGAGAAAAAACAAGAGGACACGTGTGACTGCTCTCTGTAACAGTCATAGGTGGAGCTTCAAATCAAAGCTAGACAGTCTGACACATTATACTTGTCCTGTGGTATTTGAGAAAAGAATAATTAATGCAGTCTTTGGAATTCACTCAAGCATCAAAACAATATGTATTTATGCCATTCAAAGTAAAAATACTACATCTAGATTACCATTAGACAGCTAGCATTAAAACAAAAGGTAAAATATTTCTGTTTGGTTTCTAAATGCTCTTTAAATGAATAATAGTTGAACATCAGCCAGATATTATATAATCTTGTTCCTGCCGAAAATCTTTTGTTGAAGTAATTTCACATTCTTGCAGCCCAAAGCCTTCCTGCAGTTTGGAATAAGCTCAGGTTTGTCAAGGCCTCTTATGTGTCTTGATGCATGCTCAATAATCCAGGTAGAAAAATCTAATAAGGTTAAGCCAGGTCCTCTGGACGGGTTCAAAAAACAAAAAATTGTAGAAATGTTTTGACTTTCATCCAAAAGACTTCTTCAGTCTGAGGTGCTGTATTCAGCTTAGTCTTATAAAAAGCACCTTCTCAGAGTGGATCGACCAGTTTGCTGCTGACTTTTATGTGCCTGTGATCTTAAAGCACATTAACAACACTGTGGAGTAGTCTGAATTTCTTCCTTGGTCCCAATAAACAAACAATCAAACATGCATGTTAGGTTCATTGATGGTTCTAATCTTTAGGTTTGAGTGGTTGTGATGGACTAACCCTACATCTGACTCAGTAGCTACGTTTACATGCGCAGAATTTTTTGACCGGATTGAAATGCATTCGGATTAAATAATCCGAATGTATCGTTTACATGGGCACAATGCGTTCATGATGAGCATTTACATGTAGCTGACTTTTACTCAGAATAGAAGTACTGACATGAGCAGAGTGGTAAATTTTCCTTAACAAAAAACATAGAAGAAGAAGTTCTTCTTCCATGATGAACATTAACAATCCTGAGCGCCCCAAATGGACCCGTGACAGGTTTTAATGACGGGGGAGATGTTACTGCACTCCCTGATTGAGCTACAGGTAAAGCAACGCATGTTTCAAACGCACCTCTTTCAAAGTTTCTAGTAGAAATGTTGTCGCTCACTGACCAGTTTTGCTTCCCCAACATATTATCATCCAGCCAGGTGGAAATACATGAGGTAGACAGGGCGAACATGCGCAGTCAGGGCAGTTTTCCACAATCAGAATAAAATGATCAGATTAAGTGTTTACATGCACACCGTTCAGATTATGAATCGGCATAAACCACCCCTCTCATTCAGATTACAAATTCATTCGGATCGAACTGAATCAACTCAGAATAATTCAAAGGGGCATTTACATGACACATTTTTATTCTGAATGGCCGTTTAATCTGATTACTTATCTCCATGTAAACAGTGACTGTTGAAGATAGAAACTATGTACAACCTTTAAGAGGAACAAGTAGGGTAAGAAAAGGGATGGGTCCTTCTTTTTGGAAGATTTTAAGAAATTCTGTCATTAAGATGAGTTTTAATGTAGATGTTTTACGTTTTGAAACATTAGACCCTCTTGGCCTTACTCAAGTCTTCAGTTTGTTCTCCAAACAAGATTTTTATACATGGTAAATGGTAAATTCCCAGAGGCTCAATGGGATTAACCTGTATAAATAAAGGTTGAATAAAAAAAAATAGGGTGTACTTTATAGCACCTTTCTATCTGATCAAGACACTCAAAGCTGTCACGAACCTCAATGTTGGAACCCAATTGCAGAGAGATGAGTGA